CTCTAAAAAAAGCGTGTTCTAGATTTAATGCTCAATTTAATAGCAAAATAGGTCAACAATGAACGGTAAATATAAATGGAAACTAAACAATGCATATTGATTCAAAAACGTACAATAATTATATTTTGTTATATAAAACGGGCTGAACGTAACTAAGTTATTTCAGCAAACAATATGCTAAGAATTATCTGTTGTTTAATAACTAAGTGGAGTTAGAATAATCTTTTAACAATCTTGGAAGTGTGAGAGTCTAAAAGTGATAGAAGAATTCGCTTTCCACCAATCTCTATTTATAATAAAATAGTATTTTCTTCTCTACCAATATTTAACAATCAGCCACGTTTCTACCTCGTGCTACCTTCTTTCAAGGTCAGTGGCACAGCGGTATGCTAGAATCCGGGTTTCGATACCCGTGGTGGGCAGAGCACAGACAGCCCATTGTGTGGCTTTGCGCTTAATTACAAACAAACAAACAAATCTTTCAAGGTATCCAATATTCCCTAATCCTGTCTACTAATACCTTGTATCATTTAGGTATCCACTGTTCCTTAATCCTGCCTACTAATATCTAATATCAGCTGAGGATCCAGTCTAGTGATGTGAAGTGAGTATCCACTATATACTTATCCAGTTTACTAATATGAAATATCTACTATACTACTTTAGTTTACTATTAGCAGGTGAATATCCACTATGTACTAATCTGGTCTATTAATGTCATGTGAATATCCACTGTAAGCCAAGCCAGCCTACTAATATGAGGTGAATATCTACTATTCTAATTCAGTTTACTAATAGCAGGTGAATATCCTCTGTATACTAATCCAGTCTACTAATAGCAGGTGATTATCCTCTGTATACTAATCCAGTTTATTAACACGAAGTGAGTATCTATTATACTAATCCAGTCTATTAACAACAGGTGAATATCCACAATGTACTAATCCAATTTACTAATATCAGGAGACTATCCACTATATAATAGCCCAATTTACTAATACTAGGTAAGTATCCACTATATAGTAATATAGTTTCCTAATATGAGGCGTGTATCCACCATGTACTAATCTAGTCTTCTAGTATCTGCAATGAGGTGAGTATACACTATATACAAGCCCAATTTACTAATACCAGGTAAGTATCCACTATATAGTAGCCCAATTTACTAATACCAGGTAAGTATCCACTATATACAAGCCCAATTTACTAATACCAGGTAAGTATTCACTATATACTAGCCCAATTTACTAATACCAGGTAAGTATTCACTATATACTAGCCCAATTTACTAATACCAGGTAAGTATTCACTATATACTAGCCCAATTTACTAATACCAGGTAAGTATCCACTATATAGTAGCCCAATTTACTAATACTAGGTAAGTATCCACTATATAGTAGCCCAATTTACTAATACTAGGTAAGTATCCACTATATAGTAACCCAGTTTAGCAATACCAGGTAAGTATCCACTATGTAGTAACCCAGTTTACTAATATCAGGCAAGTATGACTATGTAGTAACCCAGTTACTAATATAAGGTGAATATCCGCTTTGTACTAATTCAGTCTACTAATACATAGTATCAACTGAGAATATAGTATGTGCTAACCATTAATAAAGAAGTGAATATTACGTGCCTAATAACCTCTAACATACTTACTTTTAGGAATCACGTAACATTTTCCTGCCTGCTATTCCGTTTCTTCTGTCTTCTAGCCTCTAACAGTCACGTGTTTTTCATGTCTTAAAAACCTCCAGCAACCACGTACTTTTTTTCCTGCTTAGTAACAGCTAGCAGATGCATAAATCTTTCTGCCTAGTAAAGTCTAGCTACCACGCAAGTTTCTCCCGTTTTCTAACCACTAACAATCATACAAGTCTCTAATACCTAATAATCTCTAGCATGTAAATATCTCATACCTAATAATCTCTAGCATGTAAATATCTCATACCTAATAATCTCTAGCATGTAAATATCTCATACCTAATAATCTCTAGCAATAATGTAAATCTCTCATACCTAATAATCTCTAGCAATAATGTAAATCTCTCATACCTAATAATCTCTAGCAATAATGTAAATCTCTCATACCTAATAATCTTTAGCAATAATGTAAATCTCTCATACCTAATAATCTTTAGCAACAATGTAAATCTCTCATACCTAATAATCTCTAGCAATAATGTAAATCTCTCATACCTAATAACCTCTAGCAGTCATGTAAGTTCTTCTTATCAATATTATCCAGCAATCTCGTGTCTCTGAGTTTTATCTACAAATGATTACTTAAATGTTTGCTGTCTATCTATCTTTTACCAACTCGATTAATTTCCACTGTCTAATAACGCTTTAAATTGAGATGATCAAACAGGTTTCCCTTGGGCTTTATGCTAAACTATGATAGTCTATGTCTCTACTAATGACATAAGCTTTCCTGTTTGTTAACTTTTAACAATAAATTATGTCTCCGGTATGTACTAGCTAATGAAGTAAATATCTGATGTCTACTAACATTACATAACCAAATGTGTCTCCGGTATGTATTAGCTTCTACTAATGAAGTAAATATCTGATGTCTACTAACATTACATAACCAAATGTGTCTCCGGTATGTATTAGCCTCTACTAATGAAGTAAATATCTGATGTCTACTAACATTACATAATCAAATATGTCTCCGGTATGTATTAGTCTCTACTAATGAAGTAAATCTCCAATGTCTACTAACATTACATAATCAAATGTGTCTCCGGTATGTATTAGTCTCTACTAATGAAGTAAATCTCCAATGTCTACTAATATTACATAATCAAATGTGTCTCCGGTATGTATTAGTTTCTATTAATGAAGTAAATATCCGATATCTACTAACATTACATAATCAAATGTGTCTCCGGTATGTATTAGTCTCTACTAATGAAGTAAATATCCGATGTCTACTAACATTACATAATCAAATGTATCTCTGGTATGTATTAGTCTCTACTAATGAAGTAAATATCCGATATCTACTAACATTACATAATCAAATGTGTCTCCGGTATGTATTAGCCTCTACTAATGAAGTAAATCTCCGATGTCTACTAACATTACATAATCAAATGTATCTCCGGTATGTATTAGCCTCTACTAATGAAGTAAATATCTGATGTCTACTAACATTGCACAATCAAATGTGTCTCCGGTATGTATTTGCCCCTACTAATGAAGTAAATATTCGATGTCTACTAACATTACATAATCAAATGTATCTCCGGTATGCATTAGCCTCTAGTAATGAAGTAAATATCCGATGTCTACATAATCAAATGTGTCTCCGGTATGTATCTCCGGTATGCATTAGCCTCTAGTAATGAAGTAAATATCCGATGTCTACATAATCAAATGTGTCTCCGGTATGTATTAGCCTTTACTTACCAAGTAAGTTTCCAATAATTAACATTTAATAATCACTTTTAGGATAGGTAAGTCTCTTCTGCGTCCTAATATCGAAAAGTCAAATGAATCTTCCGTATTTGTTATCGAATAATTAGGTTACTCTCTGATTTTTACTAATCTCATTTAATATGTATATTAGTTCTGTGTACTAACGCCTAAAAAGTAACACGACAATACACTTCCGCTACAAGTCACTCCTACGACTATTTGTTTATAGTTTAAACCTAAAAATATATCAAACCGTGGAAGCAAGAAATAAGTCAGTATTCAATAGTGTGAGATATTTCTTGCAGTGACTAGATTCTGGTAAGTTTCCACCATAGTTTCCAATTGACGAATTACATCTTCGTAAACTTGGTAGGGGGAGGGGGGTGATTTTCAGCTGCAATCCTTAAATATCGGCAATTCTCATTTCCTGCATACCCAAAGTTTTAATTTAGATGTTAGCGAGAGGGTGTATTACATTAAGATTGAATCATTTATAGAAGAAGGCCTAGAATATATAGATTGTTCTAAATTTGACGTCAAGAAATTAAGTAAGTTCGGGGAGTATCGAGAGAAGAGAGTAGATTATAAATATGAGAATTACTGATGCATTGAGTCAGTTTAGTTTTCAGTTGGTAATGCCAGTCATTCAGTGAAGTGTTTGTAAAATTGTACAGTTTATGTGTACGTTAGTCATAGTACCATTAGTGACTAAATCTGCTCAGTGTAAAAACGGTATTTACGATTTTATACCTTAAGAAATAAATATACCAATATGTCATCGTTACGTAGACTAGTCTTAGCCTTATTTCCAAGTGCTCGATGTTTTTGTTGTTTTTTACTTCATTTCTGCCAAATGATATAAATTGAGATTTCGCGTCTAAGTGCACCCAGTTTCCATATTTTACTCTCAACGCCAGATTTTCCCTCAACTTTGCCTTTGTCCCTAGTCGGTACTGCTGTTATTATGGTTTGATTTGAATAAAATCCAGGTTAAAATGGGGTATCCTGCCTTCTAAATTAGAGTCTATTATAAATTACTTCAAGAATTCATAGAAAGGAAAACCAAATAGACTGGAAAATGGGTAAAGTTACACGTAGATTGGATTGACTAGGAAGTGAACACCATCAGCCCATGTTCCCTTTGTAGCTTTGGAATCATGATAGAATAGTCTGAGAAAACTACGCAAAAACTAATAATGCCTTGGATGCATTTCACTGAGGAATGCATAGTATCCTGAGAATGGTCACTCGACGATCTGGAAGATAATTAACAGTGTTGTAACGTTGTTCTTTCGTTGGGCTGGTTTTTTAAATTATTTGGTGGGCAAGAACATAGATCGCCTGAAATACAAGATGGGCGCCCTTTGAAATCAGTCATTATTGTTTGTGGATTCAATCTCGGATTGACCCGATTCATGGCTTCAAGCACCCGATCACAGATTACCCTCTCACGGCAGCAGGCTGGATGCTGTCAATACTCTCTATATGAGTAGAGTACATTTCAGGCTCCCCTCACACGGCAGCAGGCTGGATGCTGTCAATACTCTCTATATGAGTAGAGTACATCTCAGGCTCCCCTCTCACGGCAGCAGGCTGGATGCTGTCAATACTCTCTATATGAGTAGAGTACATTTCAAGCTCCCCTCTCACGGCAGCAGGCTGGATGCTGTCAATACTCTCTATATGAGTAGAGTACATCTCAGGCTTCCCTCTCACGGCAGCAGGCTGGATGCTGTTAATACTCTCTATATGAGTAGAGTACATCTCAGGCTCCCCTCTCACGGCAGCAGGCTGGATGCTGTTAATATTCTCTATATGAGTAGAGTACATCTCAGGCTCCCCTCTCACGGCAGTCAGGCTGGATGCTGTTAATACTCTCTATATGAGTAGAGTACATTTCAGGCTTCCCTCTCACGGCAGCAGGCTGGATGCTGTCAATACTCTCTATATGAGTACAGTACATCTCAGGCTCCCCAGGGGAGCCTGAAATGTACTCTACTCATATAGAGAATATTAACAGCATCCAGCCTGCTGCCGTGAGAACTCACGGCAGCAGGCTGGATGCTGTCAATATTCTCTATATGAGTACATATGATCGAATAGAGACAGTGCTGGATTGAAGGCCCCAGCAGCAATTCGCTTGATTGCTCCAAGATCAAATTTTGATCAATGCTAAAAAAAAAATCATTATTCTGTCTGGACCATGGCCCCTGTCCAATAGCAGGAATTTTTCCTATGTGACCTGATGCAGCCTCGTACTGCTATACTCAAAGAGAGTGAGAAAAACAGTGAAAGTATTTGGATTTGGAAGCGCGCCATTTCTCTGATAACCTTTTAATAAAACTAAGACTTATGATCCGGTTCCGTAATTTACAGTATTTTGTTTGAAGTGATGAAATAATTGAAAAAAATTTCCTGAAAGAACTGTACTTTCTAGACTTTTGTCTGCAAAAGATTAAAATACATTTTGAAAAGTTTGGCTTCGTTTGAAGTTCACGCAAAGCTACACGAGGATTATCTGCGCTAGATGGCCCTAAGACTAGAGGGAAGGCAGCTAGTCATCACCACCCACCGCCAACTCTTGGGCTACTCTTTTACTAGCGAATAGTTGGATTGACCGTCACATAATAACGCCCCCACGGCTAAAAGGTCTAGTATGTTTGGTGGGACGGGGGGATTCGAACCCGCGACTCTCAGATCGCGAGTCAAGCGCCCTAGCCACCTGGCCATGTCGGGTCTTTTAAAAAGTTCAAACATTATCCGAAAAACTAGGTAAGGAGCGAATGTGGAAGAAGCTAAGTGTCAGAATAATGAATGGTTCCGAGAGTGGATTGTCTCAGGATTTAATTACCGGAGCGAATTTTCGTGTATTCATTTCATCATAATGGGGTGTTTGCTGTGAACTAATCGTTAACAATCAGGTATGCCTTCGCTAGCTGTTATTCTCTAACTATTTAGGTTTGTTTCTGCTCTTCACTAACCTCTGACAATCAGCTGAGTCTCTGCTTTCTCTGAACCAAGGCTGTTATTCACGAGACAAGTGTATCTCCCTCCGTCTTCTACTCTAATGTCTCTTATCCTCAGGATTCCATCCACTAGAAAAGACCTCTCTCTACTGCTCACAGACTTCAGTTTCACCCCATCGTGTCTGTACCAAACGTACGAAGGGACGGGGTAACCCTCTGCTGCACAAGGAAGCTCTGCTGTTTCGCCTTGCTTTACCACCAGGCGCCGCCTGATATCTATAATCTTTGGTGCCATGACGCTAGGTTCTAAAAAACAAAACAAAAACAGAAGAAAAACAAGATATAGCAATATGATTCTCAATCGCATTCAGTTTTTCTCGGTTATACGTTGTTTTCTTACTAAAAAAAATATATAACAAAATGTAAGTTTGTTAAAAAACAATGCAAGAAAATTAAAAACATACAATAACTTGCCTGTTACCACAAGTTGACCCTTGGTTTTGCTAGTGTAAACCTCTTGAGTCAGCCTATGTCGAGTCTGACACTGATACCAATTCTGGTTGTCAGAGGGCGTCACTCGTCTGATATATAGTTTACCCGTTGGAAAGACACTGTATCGACCTGTTTATAGAGTAATTGTACAGTTATTGGATGTCCAGCCAAGCGAGGTTAATTCTATTAAGCGCGTGGGTGCATCCTAGCTTTAGGTATAAGTCTATAATCTCCAGGACTTTGTATTCTTTCTTTTCTCCTTGTTTAACTATTCATGAGAAGTAAATGTTTAGAAGCGAGTTTGATGTAGAAATACCTGTTTCGTTGAAATCTGTTCACCAAACATGCGTCTTCTCGTTAAGCAGTCGTTTAATGTTGTATAAACAGTTTCTCAGTAGTTAAATATAAAATGTTATCAGACACCTTACTCAATCACACAATGGAATTTAGAAATGGTGTAAAAGAAAGCGACTATTTTATATACCTTCGTGTAACTAATTTCTTATAGTTGTATATTCAAATGCCTCTCATAAAAAAGTATGTTCCAGAACATTCATGAACTGTTAGTGTTTAGTAAAGAGAATAATCCCAGTAGCAGCAATATATATTATTGTTACAGTATATCTAGCTATTCGCTTTAAGGCTATAAGAATATGAAATCCTTTTCATGTTATATAAAACAGAAACAACTTGCAATAGTTGTCTACTGTCAGAGCGACAACAATATGTGACAATAAAGCATTTACTATAGAGTTCGTATTGTTGTCTACTGTCAGAGCGACAACAATATGTGACAATAAAGCATTTACTATAGAGTTCGTATTGATATTTTTACATACAAGGAACTCAAGATCTTAATGAAAACTACAGTAGTTACACACAACACACACACTTAGAAAAAAAACTAACTTCACCTTCAGTGGTCGTTGGATGTATCACGACAGATCCATCCTGCAGCCATGACGTCACTGTTACATAATCTCGTACAAAATCAGGAATGTAACATTCGAGTACAGCAGTGTTGCCTTTGACCACGTATTTCTTGTAAACTTCAACAACGTAGCTTTGAAGCACAACTAATGTACCAAAAAGAATTTATATTTTATCTTAATTACAGACAACGCTAGTTATAATGTTTTAAAATAACGTCAACTTACGTTACAATACTTAACACACAGTTTTTCACATTTTTATACTCCAACAACAGTCAATACACATTATAATTTTCAACAACTAGCAGCGGGCATATTAATATCTTTATTATGATAGTACTTCTTTAACTACAGGATTTATAGGATAATACAAAATAGTTCTAATGGCAGACGCCGAAATCTATAAAACCACTTGTTTTAGGCTTAACATTAGTTAAGCCTTTACTGAGTACGGCCTATATTCGATAAAGAGATAAATTAGTATTGTCACTTGTGTACGATTTTTGCTTTACTTTAGTTAGGGCTAAACTTTACCGTACTTAATACTATCAACAAGTAAAGAAAAACTTTTCAAAAAAGGAAGTAAATGTAGGGATGATTAATACCAATCATTCAAAAACAATGCAAACTCGATAGTAAGGATGACATTTTCATCATCCCTACATAATAGAACAGGCAAGAATTAACATATAGCAATATATATATAACTATTCAATCACAATTGAGTTTAATTTACCGTAGTTTTGTCTATTAACATTCTACTACACTGTGTGCCTGTGCATACTATGTAGGGATGATGCAAGTACCATCTTTACTATCTTATTTTTGTGTGTTTTTTTAAGGATTGATATTAGCCATCTCTACATTTACTTCTTTTGTTGAAAAGGTTTTTTCTTTAATTGTTCACTTGTTTTTTTTTAACGCAGTGTTTCAATAGACACAGGAAGGTTGTATTTATAATCAAGTTTTAAATATGATAA